GAGCCAATGACCAGCTGATATATAAAAAATCATCATTTCACTTAATTTCATATAGTTGCAGAGAATAATGATTGATTGATTTCTTTATTATAGAGACTTTCACAGCAGAGAATAATCATCAAGGCATACTTTGATAAAAAATATATAATAATTAAGATTAAGGTTGATCCGGTGGACACTCAGTATTCAGAACCAGGTTGTGGGCTGGTTTTGTTAAAATATTAAACAGCACTACACACACATAGATGCCTGTTGCTGTGAATTTCCAGCATCACCTTATTCTATAAGACTGGTACCTTTTCTCTGGTACTGGTACCATATAATTGCATTCCTCTTGGCTGGCACCTCCATCACTGATCAGCCGCAGGCCAAGCTCAAACAAGGGCACTTTATTCTCCCCCCTCAAATCACTCTGTGCACAAAAGCAATGCTCATCGCAAAAAAAAATAACAATAGATTAGCGCGGTCGAGTCACACTGGCAACAAAGGGAAGCGAGAGCACACCAAGCACATAAGCAACAGAGGGAAACCTCTGCACAAACCAAATTAAATTATCGCTCCCGGGACACAAAAGCACCGAAAAACTCAACGGTGCAAAGCAGCACACAGCGGAGCAAACAAACAACCGTTCTCGAACAACTCTCCAAGCGCACCTTGGCTCGTTCCCCCATACATTTTGTCGATCTTCCCCATGCCCTTTGAACGAAATGATTTCAATTTTGGCAGGGTGTTTCTGACCCCGCAAACTACCATTCCAGGGGGTAGCGTTTGCAATGCCAGGATTAACGTTTCTTTCTGAAATGGCTCTTGATAAAAAAAGCAAATCGACCTTATGTAAACCGACCTTATGCCAATCGGCTTTATATCAAACGGAGTTATGCCAAACGACTTTGTGTCAAATGGGGTACCCCCATTAGAAATCCCCTTCCGTGAATATCCAGAGCAGGATTTCATTTTCTTCGGTACAATCACCACGTTAACTTTTCTATGGAAGGGATGTATTGTCATCGAATATTGGGTTGGTTTAGAGAACGCTTTGAGTATAGTATTTATTTGCAACTGGTTCCCTTGCCCAAAACACTTTCGCTCTGTTGAATGCTGTTCAGTTGAGTTACAAACTACCAAGATGCCGTTCGCAAGAGACATTGGCTTAGTCATCGCATGGAGAATTCTTACATCAAATTTCTAACAAAGCTTTCCTTTCTCAGCGTGAACCTATAAAAAACATGTCTGTTTAACCATTTTGGTATTTTAGCATTCCAAAGATGCTTTATTGTTTTTTTTTTCTTCTATCCATCTATTAGTTACCTTTTCTTATATCTCTGTAGTTTATAAACTTTAAATGCAATCTTTAACCTACCGAAATATAAATAGCTGTCTATTTATAATTGTTCGTTTAAATATCTATTTGTTGTTCAACTAGCTTTGTGTTACCAATTTGCGTTAAAAACTTTGTTTTGTTTCCTTTCCATATTTGCTCTTTCATGTGATTTCCTGGCGCAGTTGTTGTGCTTTGGGTTTGTTTTTTTGTTTGTTTAAAATTTCCCTTTCGAGATATAGTTGAAATATAAAATTGTTTTTTTTGTTACAACATTATCGTTACTATTAAAGTGGTTTTTGAATGCCTTTGACAAACTAAAATCAACATTATTTTTGGCAAAAATGGGAATTGGGAAGAATGATTTTTTATCAAATTTCAAATGTTTCGTTTTACGGTTTCTCCTCCGTCAATACGCGATTACTAATAACAACAATAAAACACATACGTTTTCGTTTCGGTATTACATTTTTGATTATTTTTTTCTCTCTTTGGACCTAAATACTAATTCAACGGCTTTATGAACTGGATACAATTTTTTTGTTCGATTCTATTTCATTCTGGAACTGAGTGACCATTTGTTAAAAAGTCCAGAATTTTTTAGGAAAGTGTAATCAACTTTTGAACATTTCTTAGCAAATAATTTTGTTTAGCTTTGCTAGGTGATGGAATTTGAATGAATTCCGAAGTAAACGACTTTTGAAGGCATTTTGTAAATTGAAAAAAGAAACAACTAAAAGTATGCATTTTCGTTGGTTTAAATTGAAACTGCAGCAAGTTTAATTTTCGACTCTAGCGTCGTATACAGTTGTGTGTCCTCTTTTTACCGGGAAAAATTGATTTGGAAAATGTAACAATTATATTTTTCTTTATTCTTTGTTCTTTATTTGTACAAGTTGTTCTATCTAAAACTAGGTTAATTCTGTGTAATTGAATTGCTATGTTAAAATTGGCTATTTTTATGAACATTCTATTGCCTGTCGCTATGAAAAAATCTGTCTGTTTTAGCTGTTCCAAGTATGGATGGTTTAAATTGGTATTGAAAATTGCCCGTCTAGTCATTTAAAAATCATCGGGACGAACATGGTTAAATTTTAAGCTACCGATGATGTGTTTTAGAGAAGACGACTAGAAATTCGATTTTAAATATTGATTCCCGTGGATAACAACCCGATTTTTGTTTCTGAATATATCATTGAATTTTATCACACTCATGGCGTTGATCGCGCTAGCCACCTGAAGTAACCAATAAGCCCGCTAATTCGCCTTTTTGCCGTTTGCCTTTCTGCCTTTCTTCGCATATCAGCTCCATAAGCGTTTTTGTTATTGTTGAGTTTACCAGATGAAAAATACATCAAGTCTGTTTGCCCCATCATACAAAGTAACCGCGCATATCAGAACGACCCACCACGAGCGATCAAGTTATAGCTCTACTGTTTAACCCTCTCCTTCATGGTAGCACAGGGGATCCACAACTTTTCGATCCGTCTTATGTTTGTCAATCTACCATTCAATAGCCAGTATTTATTTAAGTTTCTCCGTGTGGTCATGATTCTCATCCATATCTATTATTGACAATGAACTGAGTAACTGTTGAAAAACAATTAACATAGGGGAAATGGATGTAATGTCGGCCTAAATGCCCCTAATTTGGGCCCATACATAAATTCAGTAATCGAATAAATTTTCAATAGCGACCAAAAATATCCATTAGTACCGTCCCAATCATTCATCTAGATAAAATTGATAAATATCAGATTTTTAGCGATGGGCCCAATCTTAGATTCATAGGCCAACATTAGAGCCATTTCCCCTATTACATCGAAAATGTACTCTATATCTTTGACAACAATTTTCTTAACATTGAAGACGATTATTGTGTATTAGAAACTCAAATGTCATTAGCCAAATACATCCGTAGACCATAGGTCCACCATTGTATAATTGGCAATGAACCCGTGTACTGAATGGGAATTGTGGGTTCGAATCCCACCGGTGGCCTTAGATTTTTTTTCGAAAATTTGCTTACACACACACACGGCTCTTACCGATGATATCCCATTGTGCTTATCTCTCAGTATCTTCTAACTTTCTTAAAAAAATATTGGCTGAAAAGTCGTTAACCGTAATTATAAACTTAATATCAACTTGTTGAAAATATGGCAGGTATGGGAAATGGATGTAATGTCGGCCTAAATGCCTCTGATTTGGGTCCATACATAAATTCAACAATCGACTAAACTTTCAATAGCGACCAAAAATATTAATTAGTTCCGTCCCATTCTAGATAACATATTGAAATCCAAGATGGCGTCTGACATTGAATTCCGGTCTTTATACGCCATCCCGTTTCCAAAAATATCCTGTATTCAAAAACTGTTATTTCGACTTGACACTGCATAATTTTATGCATCAAATACAAATTCCGTTTAGTTATCTGCCATCACTGGCAATTCTGAATAATGCGCACCACGCACATAAACATACCACAGTACCGGATCGGTTCTTGATTTTAAAACATCATCCTTGTGAACACGAACACCGGTACTGGAAAATCAGAACCGCACCGTATGCAGCGAACTGGTGAACACGGTGCGGTGTTGCTTGCAACTACGAAACCGAACCGACAGCAGCAACAAACACTTGGTACAACAGATCAGCACATTGGTTATGATTTAGAAATCCGTACCGGTGCTGTACCAGTGTTTTGCCCATCACTGCCGAAAAGTACGGTAAAGTATCGACATTTACGAATTCGCTACGTAAAAACCGAGAAACTCGGTAAACTGAACCGAATATTCGCTAAAACGTGTTAAACGTCAAACGCTTAAACGTCAAACGTTCCACTTGCACTCAACTTCACGATGGAAATTTTAACCAAAAACTCGGTTCTTTAAGCTGAATTTATTTTTCGTCAACCGAGATTTTCGGTAAATTTGACAGATTGTGGGTAACAAAAAGAACTAACGACAGCTCGGTTATTCCTCTTTGAACCGAACAGACTACTGAGCGTTCAACTCGGTTGAAATGAAATCGAGTTCGTTAATATTTTTAAAGTGTGCATGTATCATTGGGTAATGCGGAGAGATTTTCTTTAATCAACGTTGGCATCACTGAAATAATCGTGTCATAACCATCATTTGGTACGCACAAAACAAATTTCTCTTACATTTAATGCAAGGTTGGATTTATAACATACTCTGCATATGTTTAATACAACAAATGTAATGGCAGCTCTCGCAATGGACTGTAACTGTACAAGTAATTTTTTCCCGATTGTATATTTTTATATGAAACCTTCACGAGATGATTTTCTGGACGCAATGCATTTGCGGAAACAAACTTTGCTCGAAAAATAAGCTAAAATAAAAGCTACTTTTCATGTAAATCTGCTATAGAATACTACATTTCCCGATAAGTGTAGCGAGAGCTTAAAATGTACATTTAGCTCAAAGCCGACTCGTGACTTTTCTATTGCTTTTTTTTTTGCATCCATATATTCTTGCAAATAAATTGTAGATTGTGTTTGTGTTTGCATAGCCATTAATATCAAAAAAGAAAGTCGATGAAGAGAATCGATCAAAGCAGATAGGATCTTTCGAATGGTTCATCTAGAATGCAGAAAGACGTTTTGAAATCAAGTTGATGGTCCTAAGTAACATTGATCGATTCTCTTTATCGAATTTGTGTAGAACTGTTTTTTGTCGTGTTTGTCGTAATAATAATAGCTTCTTTCATCGACCTATGTGCTAAAAAAATAACTGGGAATGTCTTACTCTTAGCCATGAGGACGCAAAAAGAAGTCGATGAAGAGAATATGTCAATGTTGCTTAGGAGTCAGTGTTGGTTAGTTCATTTTCAAAAAAAGTTCTTTCGTAGTTCTTCAGAGCATCATATCGCTGAAGAACTAGCTATTAACGAAACGAGATGTGCGAAACAGTTCAGCAAACGATTCCGAAAGAGAATTCCGATTTCACTCTCTCAACCTATTTCACACAAAATCGAGAAACGAGCTAGCTGAGGTTCTTGTCTCCTATGTCATGTTTCGTCGCGGAGTAGAATGAAATTCTATCGCTTAATTTCTGCTACCTACTCTGCTGATGTTTTCTTTCTCTAGATTAGGTGTTATGCTTTATGCATAATGATATTTATGTTGCATACATGTAGGAGCTACCCGTGCCTTATAATTGGTGGAAGTATACATTCAGGATGCATTTTTAATACACTTTCATAAGGTTTTCATTTTCTGTAACTCTTGTTTTACATTACTCATAACAGCAATTCAAACTTCAAAGGCTGCTCACGAGTTACAAAAAAAGTTCACGAGTTAGTTCGCGATCTATTTCATCACATATCAGGAACGAAAAGTTGTGCAAGGAAGCTAAAGCAAAAAATATAAAAAAACTATAGCTTGCAGGTGAGTCAAAGTGGGAGTGATATTAGTTACTCTCAATCTCAACCAAGAAAGTTCGCTTGGGAAATAACGCTTTGCAAAATTCCAATCGATAATTTCCCTAGTGAAAACATCTCGCTTGCGATAATGAACTTTTGACGATATTTCCAACGCTGCTTAGGACCTAAACCAGCTTGAAAGGTTCATCTAAACTTGCCACGGGACACATGAAGGTGTTCTGCTGGATAAACATTGTTATTTTTTAACTTAAACGGTGGCTTTAGCGCACTTATTCCATGGGTATTATGGAATGCAAACGCGCAGTTTTATTAGCGTTTTCACATTCTCTATGAAACTCACTTATCTCAAGCTGAACAATGCATTAGGTCCTTATTAGCATTGATCGATTCTCTTCATCGACTTTCTCTTGCGTTAATAGCTTGACTAGAAATCCGTTTCTTGTCGTGTTTGCCGTCTTAGATGCCAGATAATAGCTTCTTTCATCAAATTGTATGTTGAAAAAGCTGGTCGTGGAGATGCAATGTGAAAATCGACGAAGAGGCACTGTCAATGTCATTGCTCGACTTGATGTGTTCGCCATAGATGGGTGTACTCAAATGTATTGTAGTTTAATAGTAAATATTGCAGCTCGATTTTGTATGTGTGATTACCAATCGATTTTTGTTTTGTTTTTTTATGCTTACGGCGTTATCCAGGGTAACTTAACCTATGTCTTTGGTTTGAAAACTTCCATCACTAATAAAAATAATTTGATTCACCTCACCATCAGTAGTAACTTAGATGGAAAGCATGCCCTTAAAAAACAATCGCCAATAACAAGTGTACCTTTCCTGTAGCTATTTTCTGCTGATTGTTTGATTTCCGTTCGGTTGGTTTTATTGCTACTGAGGACATAGTAAATGGTCTGGCGTCGCGGTTGTATGGCACACTCCTGGAAGACGTCTGTTTTCACGCTTTAAAAATCTGCGGAAACTCGTTTGCAATCTCTCGTACGATCTGCTGATCCCCAGCACTGCATTCGGTTTCTTCGCAGAAAATTCGGGTGAAAATTTTGATCAGATCCTGCTTCCGATGTTGCTGTTCGACGTAGGAAGTATTACGGACGATTTTCCTACACAGTTCCAGGTACCACTTGCGAATCTAGAACATTATCATACGTGAGTTTGTAAATCAAGAAAGAGATTGGTTGGCAATTTACCGGTTCGCCGGCGGAAAGATCCGACAGTTGTCGCACTAGAATGTCGATCAGAACGTTTTGATCGTTTGTGTAGAAGATGGAAGCAGTTTCCGGTCTACTGAATAGATCTACCAACATTTTCAATACCGGATTTATGTGAGCGGGAGTGTGTTTCAAGGTGTGAACTGGATCCTCTGTAATAGTAAAGAAGTTTGTTAATACCCAAATAGTGGCATGAGTTATAGCTCGAGTTACCTTCTCGGTTGATAAGGACCAGAATTTTTTCCGTAAAAGTTTTAGCTGTTTGAATATGTTCCATTGCCTCCAGTACGACGTTGTCGGTGAAGTTTTCAAACTGAAGATTAAACGATAGAATCAGATTTATCATGATGTCCGAAAGTACGTTGTGAACGTCCGTTTCTGGTGGATTTTCAATTATGTTTAATAGGAAGATTACGAAGTCGGATCGAAGGTGTTCTGCGAAATAGAAGATCGTTATAAGTTTCAGCCATAAATCATTCGGATGGTTCACTTCACACACTACCTTGCTGATTGATTGGCATTCGTCTGCCGATAGAAAACACGATAATTAACATATTAGCCAGTTCTTGCAGTTTCTCCACATCTCTTGCGTTAGATATCATGTCCTGAACGATTTCCAAAGGCAACACCGACCCTAGCAATATATCAACGGTTGTGTAGTCGAGATGACACATCGCTTTGAAAGCCTTCAGTAGGAGCTTACGAATCGACCATCGGGTTTCCATCTGGTAATACAGGACTAGATTGATAACGCTCTGATAGTGATCGACGCCCATTTCGTTGCGGCAGATTTTCGGATCGGCATCAGTTAGGATTCCAATGAGTTCACTTAAATAACGACTAATATCGGCTTCGTCTTCGTGGAGCATCCAAGTACGTTGCTGAGAATCATTCTTACACTCGGATAGACCGGTAAAGATAATTCGCAGACGACGCGCGTCATGGGTCTGAGCTAGCAAGGCATCCGGTACATCCAGAGGCGCCGTTAGGTGCACTGCGATCGGTTCAAGGTGTTTCACTATTGGTTGAGGCAGTAGAGGCTCAAGCTCACTGAGAACAACACGGAGAGCTACGCAAGCCATTTCGTGACTGAGGTTCGTATTGGTACGGATTGCGTCTACCACTTGATACACGTCCTGTGGTTCAATTTTTGCTGTTGGAATTTCGTTAAAGTTCTGGCTTTCAGCAATTGTGTCAGGATCACTGGTGATTTCTTTTGCCGAGGTTTCTTTTGGTTGTGGCTCATTTTCACTGGCGGTCATGTCATCATTGTTGGTGGTTTCTAGTTCTGTTTCATGGTCTGTTTGGGTCTCTGGCTCCGCAATGAGTTCAGTTTTCTGAGCTTCTTCGTCACCTCGTGAAATGGCGGTAATTTCGTCACTCGTAGTAGTGGTTGTAGTTGTGGTAGCGGTATTTGTAGCATCCCCTTCAGATACTTCCGATACTAAACTGTTCTCCTGAGCGGTCGGCGTAAGTGGTTCATCTGCGTTCAGTTTGGACGAGAGAATACTCATACTAGGGCTTTCCTGTATAAATTGGGGGACATTGTTCGCAGCACCTACAGCAGGACTAGATTGCGACTTTTTGGTTAAACTTTCATGCTTCGATGAAACCGGCGAATGGTGGTGTTCGTTGTTATGTGTTGGGGCCGAGTCTGAAAAAAAGATGTTTTTTTGTGAATATCCCCGAAAATACCATTTGAAGAAACTAACTGACCTGTGTGGCTACTGTAAGAATGATCCTCAAGGTGTTTCACACTTCCATTGCCCATTTTAAGCGGTGGCTCTTCCTCACTGTCTGAACTCTCATTCTGGAAAACAACACGTGGTTAGCCTCGATAAAATTAGGGCATCAAATCAATTGAATTATATTCTCATGAGCATCCGCATGCATAAAAACGCGTTCTAGATCACCCCTAGCATAGTTACCTTTAGTATTTTTTCAACTTTTATCTTCTTCTCAACTAGTCGGTCAATGAGCTCATCGCGATTAATAATGCCGTTGATTTCTTTATCGGTAGACATTCGCAGCGATTCAATACTCGATTCGAGAAAACCATTCAGGAAGTTTGGGTCAACCTGCAAAGGCAAAAAAAGGTGAAGGGCGCATGCTGATTATGCATGGCGACATACTCCGAGTGGGTACTGTATGCTTCCGCGCAAATATGGATATGTGTGTACGTACAAAGGACCTGCCATATAAATATTTACGGCATCATTACGGGGTGAGAAAATGCGACAGGAAGAAAAAAACTGAAAAGTTCAAGCCCCATCCATCCACTATCTGGCGGCAACATCATTGCTGATTCGTCAGGATGCGAAGATGCTGAGGCTTATTTAAAATGCAGTAAGATATCGATTTTTCTACCGTTCTCACCCAGTTGTATCCTTTCGGCCTTGTACGTGCTGTCATATGCTCGTGATTCCTTACCTTCAATTTCATGACATAATTCGACGGGACGAACCCAATATTGCCCTTCATGCTGACTACTTGCCACCAATTTCTTTGACGAGCACTAGTCTGATGCAGGATGAAGTACTCTCCCTCGTCGAAGCTAATAGTTTTCGGATAAACTGCTGTAAAATCATACAGAGCCTTCAGCATCTCGAAGCTCTCTGCAATCATAGATACGGGTAATAATTGATTTTTTTCATACTTTCCATCATCCGCTGGCAATTACAGCACATTCTTCAAAACTTACCAGCTTCGTTCAGCAACCCTTCTCCCATTTTCAACAATTTCTAGTGACAGTCTGCACCACTCGATACTCAACGACCTCTTTTTGCATTTATCACTAATTTTTCATCACTTTTTTCCTCGTTTTTCCGACGCGAAAAAGGGGAGCCAGGGACAAACTTTCACACACCCTCTTGCTCCATATCAAACTCGCGAAAGAAGAAAAATCCGTCCGTGCTCTTTGGATGCCTCGCACACATTGTATGGATGAAGAATAGGCGCAAATGGTCCTGCACTCTCGCTCTGTTATGATTCTCCTCGTCGTTCTATGTACCTCTACAGCTTCCCCACAGCAGAGTATGGTGGACCACTGAGGAGAGTATAATCGTGCCTTTGACATATTTAGGAGAGAACATCAACGCTCTGTTTATTTTTGAACCTAGAAAAAGAGCATTAACATCGCTTGTTTGTGGGTGCAAAACGCCAGTAAGGAGAGTCAAATGTCAATGTCATTTTGTTTTTATCGCAAATAATAAAATTCACGCTTCTTCGGAAATGAGAGCATCTTTAAGTAAGTGGCACAGTTACTGGCTTGAAATTTATTCAGCTGTATTGATTTTCCTTCGTGTTTATTAGGTGCCGCTATCTATCGGCGAGCATGTGAAGGAATGTGACTATATCGTTAAGGTGATTCGCTGTGACATCCTTATTCTCGTGACCATTTCGAAACTTTAAGTGTACAAAGATCAGCTTCGACGACACGTGCAATATTCAAATTGTTACTCCATGTTTGCTGCACTGCAGCATACATGAAGTAGCAATTTGAAATGAAATGGAGGACTGATTTCCGAGATGTGTGTAATTGAAAATTCAAAGTGGAAGTGCATGTATAGCCTACGTGGCGGCCATTAGTGGACTCTACAAGGAATCACCTTAAATAACTGTACAATGTACATCGTGGCGGGCTTATTTAGATTGGACGTGCTACTTTGGATACTTTAATGTTTGATAACATAAGTAAACTGCCGGTAATTTATTTATTTATTTCGTCAAACAAAAGTAGACCACATACAATGGTTACAATGTTTTACTTACTATGCACTATTTCTATTTTCCTTAGTCATTTTTTTTTAGATTATTAGACATATTGATGTCGATGACTTCGCAATGGAGATTATACTAGTGCATCATTCAATTTATGGGACTATTTTTTGGATAATTTGATCTAATGATTTTTCTGAGAATAATTTTCGTGTCCTTGTATGTCGACAGAGTGTGTAGAAGCGTAATTGCGCGAGTAGTACTGATGCTTCTATGCTATGAGAAATAATGTTATTTATGAAGAAAAGCGGCGTTCCTTAAGTATTTGTAAGTTGATGAGCATGCAGCGTGCTTCATATGATGGAAGAGGAATTGCAGTCCAATGTAATTCACGAAGGGCATATGCAATGGCAATGTATGGGTTCCATACTAGGCTGCAGTATTCCATATGGCTGATCATCTTAATGAAGCCCATTAAAATTACACCTAATTCCCTGAAATTTTTTACATGCTATTACAAAATTACTCCTAATTCGCTTACAATTTTACTTTTTTTTTTACTTTTTGGTTTCCTAAAAATATTTCAATATAAGGTGTTTTAATTTTTTTGCTAAATGCTATTGCGTTACATTTTTTACATTGAGTTGGAGTATAATTTTACTACATCAAATGTAGAATAGATTGATTTCATTCAGGCATTACTTATTTACATGAATAACTTCGTTTCGTCTCACAGTGGCCGGAGCCCGGACAAAACCTCACAAAAATTACGTTTAAATTTATGTAAATTCTATTTTTTCTAGGTTTCTCACACATTGAATAACGTTTTCTCAAAATGTCGTTATTATGGGAATAAGATTTCGGTTTTTGACAACGTTGCTAAGCCAGCTTTTTTTTATCTTTATTTGTTCAGGGTGTCGACTACCTGAAAAAACCTGGAAAGTCAGTGAATGTTATACCCCGGACAGACTATGGCTTATATCATGTAATATAGGCTGTCTTGCAATGAGCACTCATACATAGGATTTCCAGTGAAAACTAGATGTATGAGTGCTCATTGCAAGACAGTCTGTATTACATGATATAAGCCATAGTCTGTACGGGGTATCAGGGAATTCTATTTACGATCTGGAAAATAGTGTTCGCAGTATCAGTTGGGATGTTGTCAAATATTTGCGTGGTATCTACAATATCTTCAAAGATGTACCAGGAAGACGAGCGTTTATCACGATGTATTCTGGGGCACACCATATTCCCGTTAAAATTTTGCGGTCACCGATGGTTGGAAAATAGTGGTGCTGTTCAGAGGGCAATCGAAATTACTCCGCTAATACGAAAATTGATTCAAGGTGACAAAATCAAAGACAAAATTGCACCAACGTCAGCTTCCTACCAAGATGCTAAAAACTGTTTGAATGACTCGCTGCTGATGGCTAATAAAGGGCGAACACGAAATTATTGCGACACCGAAAATGTCATGCCAATTTTCTTATAATGTTTAGAATCAATATATATATTTACTTCAAAAATCAAAAGAAAAGTTAATCGATGGAGCCTTGAGTGTAAAATTGAACGCATTTTCGCTTGATGCCCTCCATCAAAGTCTTTACAGTGTCATCCGGTACCAGTTTCTCAGTTTTTTTTTTTCCATTTTCTTAACATGTCCTTCTCGTCTTTGACTGTCTTCTTGCTCTTCCGAAGTTCCCGCTTCATTATTGCCCAGTACTGCTCCACCGGGCGCAGCTCCGGACAGTTTGGCGGATTCATGTCCTTTGGAACAAAATGGACAGAATTGGCCTCATACCACTCCAGGATACTTTTAGAATAGTGGCATGATGCCAAATGTGGCCAAAATAGCGGAGCTTCGTCGTGCTGCTGCAAGAACGGCAAAAGGCGCTTCTCGAGGCACTCAGATTTGTAGATCTCGCCATTTACTGCGCCCTTTGTCACGAAAGGCTCACTCCTCAGTCCGCAAGAGCAGATGGCCTGCCAAATGAGATATTTGGAGACGAATTTCGACATTTTCTTCTTCTTAAATTTGTCGTCCACATCGAACTTGCTCTTGCCGGTGAAAAACTCCAACCCCGGAATTTGCTTAAAATCGGCTTTTATATACGTTTCGTCGTCCATCACACAGCAGCCATATTTTGTCAGCATCTTCTCGTAGAGCTTCCGTGCCCGAGTTTTAGCCGTCGATTGTTGCCGCTCATCGCGGTTTGGGAAGTTCTGTACCTTGTATGTATGTAGTCCAGCTCTCTTCTTTGCATTCTGGACGTAGCTCTGCGACATGCCGATCTTTTTAGCCAAATCACGGCTTGAGACGTTGGGATTTGCTTTAATCATCCGCTTCACCTTTCCCTCCGTCTTTTTGTTCTCCGGTCCCGGTTTTCTTCCAGCTCCTTTGCCGTGGTCCAACGTCAACCGCTCCTGGAACCGCTTCAACACTCTGGAGACGGTTGAATGGTAAATGTTCAACATTTTTCCCAACTGCCGGTGCGACAGGTTAGGAAATTCCAGGTGTTTGGAAAGAATTTGTTCTCTCAACTCGCGTTGGTTCACCTCCATTTTCGTTGAATCGAAAAACACGACTTCGAGTTTGACAGCATGTACACAATACACATCAATGAGAAAGTGTGCAAAATTTGGTTGATTTTTACCCAATGGTAAAAAAGTTATGCCCTGTTGAATGTGTCGCAATAATTTCGTGTTCGCCCTTTAGTACATTCAGACTACAGATTTATAACATGTTATAGCACTATCTTGATAGTGGTTTCTGTGTTGCAATTATTTGACAACCGTTATAACGTGTTATAACTCTGTAGTCTGAACGTGGTATTAAGCTAGCTTTCTTCAAATCAGTTGCTGTCGAAGTTGAGCCACTCCTATGCGAATTTCAGACGGACAACCCTATGGTACCTTTTTTGTACAACGCGATGTCTCTGCTTCTCGCATGGTTACGCCAATGCAGGGAGAGGTTTTTTGGTAAATGCAGAATATCTTTTTGAAAACATGAGAGAAGAGTCAAGGCCCAAGCGCAATGACAACGGAACGGCACTGGTAGCGAAAAAATCCCGATCTGAGTAAGCCACAAAAGTCATCCAAGAACACTTTGCTTGAGGCCGATGTTTTTGGCTCTTTGGTTCTATTATACGTCAGTTATTGACAGCTGATGTAAACATTACGAGTTTCAGCTCCGTTTATGCGTTTGTTTGAACGACCATGGTAACGTTGTGGTTTTGATGAAAATGTATCAAGTGATTAGTGTGTTTAATTGTTCTCTCAGTGTTTTTCAGTTGGGTTTCTATCGCTCTACGCAATTATAAGAAAGAAGTGCATGAAAGTGAGTTCACGGTGGCTTCAAGAATAAATGACCGTCCTATCGGTTGTTCATACTCGGAAGGGTGAAACTCATTGCTAAGCCATGAAGATGGTACCGTATGACCGAACCTTAAAATCTTTCCAACATCAACGCCACCGCTATCACTGACGGCAGCTTCAAGAACCAATCGCCATGCCAGAGGATTGGAGTAAGCTAGTTAAGAATTGAAAACTAGTTAGAATTAAATCGACTGCGGTTAGGCATCTTGATGTCATTTGTGACAACTGTCAAACTTACCGTTTCCGTTCCACTTCCGCCCACATTGCGTTTGGGCCTTCATCCGTAGCGCGACGTCAGATCTATGATAGTGTTATGCCTTGTTCAGACTACAGAGTTAGTCTGAGATAAACATTTTTTATAGTAATCCGAACATAAACACATATTCAACTTGTAATTTATCGTTGTAATTTGAACTTACTGAGACTATAAAATGTTAATGATAATTAAACTTAAATTATTTTGCCATGTCTGCGGTTGCCATATGGAGTTCCAGAGAGTACGAAAACTTACTGACTTATGCATTAGCAGTGCATCCTCAGGTTCGGTTGCCAGAGCAAGAATAATCACTACTCTGTTATTTTACAATAATTTATATGTTAAGAGAAAGGTTCGTCTACGGGTTTATTTTTATTTGGCTGTGAAATAATGAACACAAATTGAGAGCTTGGTGACATTGATTAAATATTCCTATTATTACTTAGTAATGAATAGTGAGCCTAGTTGTAAGCAGTAGTTATTAATTATTATATTATAATATGTATTTATAGCCCTAGGCCTATTCACATCCTTCGTAGGTAGTCGGTAATATGTTCTGTAAAAATTGTATTAGTATCAAGCTCTGTTGTGCGTGCCATGAGTATGCTATTCTTGATATTTTTGAAAACTTACCCTGCTGCTCATTTTAAACTAACCTTAATTTGCCCTACGGTATAATAAAGCACATCA